TATACACTGTTGGTGGGAATGTAAAATGGCACAACCACTTTGGAAATCGATTTGGCGCTTCCTTAAAAAGCTAGAAATAGAAGTACCATACGATCCAGTGATCCTGCTCCTTGGAATATATCCTAGAGAAACAGGAGCCATCACACGAATGTATATATGCACACCCACGTTCATTGCAGCACTGTTCACAATAGCAAAAAGATGGAAACAACCTAGGTGTCCATCAACAGACAAATGGATAAACAAATTATGGTATATCCATGCAATGGAATACTATACAACAAAAAAGAACAACAATGAAGCCGTGAAACATCTTATAACATGGAGGAAGCTGGAGGTCACTACGCTCAGTGAATTTAGTCAGTCACAGAAGGACAAATATTGTATAAGACCACTATTATAAGAACTCAAGAAAAGGTTTAAGAAGAAAACATTCTTTGATGGTTACAAGGGTGGGGAGGGAGGGTGAGGGTTATTTACTAACTAGATAGTAGATAAGAATCATCTTAGGTGAAGGGAAGGACAGCACTGACTACAGGGGAAGTCAGCACAACTGGACTAAACCAAAGTGAAGAAGTTTCCTGAATACAGTCAAAGACTTCGAGGGACAGAGTAGCAGGGGTGGGGGTCTGGAGACCATGCTTTCAGGGGACATATAGGTCAATTGGCATAACAAAGTTTATTAGGAAAATGTTCTGCATCCTACTTTGGTGAGTGGTGTCTGGGGTCTTAAAAGCTTGCAAGTGGCCATCTAAGATGCATCTATTGGTCCCAACCCACCTGGTGTAAAGGAGAATGAAGAACACCAAAGACAAAAGGAAATTATTAGCCCAAGAGACAGAATGGGCCACATAAACCAGAGACTTCATCAGCCTGAGACCAGAATAACTATGTGGTGCCTGGTTACCACCAATGACCACCCTGACAGGGAACACAACAGAGAGTCTCTGATGGAGCAGGAGAAAGGTGGGGTACAGAACTCAAATTCTAGTAAAAAGACCAGACTTCATGGTCTGACTGAGACCGGAGGAACCCCAGAAAGCATGGCCTCTGGACTCTCTATCAGCCCAGAACTAAAACAATTTCTGAGGCCACCTCTTCAGACAAAGATTGGACTGGACTGTGGGACATAAAATGATGTTCGTGAAGAGTGTGCTTCTTAGCTCAAGCAGATGCATGAGACTAAATGGGCAGTTTCTGTCCGGAGGTGAGATGAGAAGGCAGAAAGGGTTAGAAGCTGGTTGAATGGACCTGGGAAATCAGGGGTGGAAAGGAGGAGAGTGCTGTCATAGCACAGGGAGAGCAATTAGGGTCACATAACAATGTACGTATAAATTTTTGTATAAGAGACTAACTTGAAATGTAAACTTTCACTTAAACTACAACAATAAACAACAAAAATCATCCTGAGGACAAAAAAACAAAACAAAACAGCCAGTCTTTCAGTTAGCAGCCAAGCGGTTAATGGTTGTGCCACCGGGGCTCCTTTTGAATGAAGTAGGAGGTGATAAAATAGGTAGAGGAGAGGCTGTGGATGAATTGTGCATGCCGGCACTCCCTCTTGCCTCCAGGGACTATGGCCATGTAGGAATGAGGCCCAGGGTGGCCAAATCTTTGGACTTTTCAAGAACAGCTAGAAATTCGCATTTTAGCACATATTTTCAAGTACTGGTAACTACTTTTTTTTTTTTTTTTAAATCTACAACAATGTATGTTAAAATCACCCACATTTGGAGGCCAGATCTGGCTGAAGCCTGTCCGTTTGTGACCTTTGCTTTAAATAATTGCTTGAGCGATTCCTAAAGTAAAATTTATATATTTAGTCTTAGAAATGTGCACAGATATACTGAGAGCTGGGGGCATACAAAGGCAGAATTAAAATCTGAAATAAAGCTAGGGTTAAAAATAACTTTGAGGCATAAATCACGAAGGAGGGTGAGTGAAACACCAAAAACAGGGGGCATTTCTAACCAGGGTCCAAAAGATGAGGCAAAGACTCACTTACCAGTCAACAAATCCATCTCCAGCAAGGCCTGGAACAAGCTGGGGTGTTTATCTTTCAGCTCCTTCTCCCAAGGAAACGCTTTGCACATAGATGGGCTCCCATACCTGTGCTTCAGGGCCAGGTAGGAGTTCCAGAGGTCACCTATACAGAAAGGGAAACACAAGATACCATACCCTTTGTTGTTGTTGGTAGCTGTTGTCAAGTCAGCACCCTATTCATGGCAACCCCACACAGAATGGAAAAAAATGCTGCCCAGTCCTGTGTCATCCCCATGACCGGATGAAGATCAGACCTTCGTGATCCACATGGTTTTCATCGGCTGAGTTTCAGAAGTAGATTGCCAGGCCTTTCTTCCTAGTCCAACTCAGTCTGAAAGCTCCACTGAAACCTGTTCAGCATCATAGCACCATGCAAGCCTCCACTGACAGACAGGTGGTGGCTGTACGTGAGGTGCATTGGCTGGGAGTCGAATTTGGGTCCCCTGCATGGAAAGCAAGAATGCACTTGGCTGCTAACAGAAAGGTTAACAGTTTTAAGTTCACCCATGGGCACCTCAGAAGAAAGGCCTGGCAATCTGCTTCCAAAAAATCAGCCATTGAAAATCTTACAGAGCACAGTTCTACTCTGACACACATAAGGTAACCATGAGTTGGGGTTGACTCAAGGGCAACTGGTTTTCCACACCCTTTACCAAAAACACCAAACCAAACCCATTGCCATCGAGTCAATTCCGACTCATAGTGACCCTACAGGACAGAGAAGAACTGCCCCATAGGGTTTCCAAGGAATGGTTGGTGGATTCAAACTGCCAACCTTTATGGTTAGCAGCCGAACTCTTCAACCACTGCGCCACCAGAGCTTCACACCCTCTAGGAGAGTGAAATTCTCCTCTGTAAACCCCTTCTTCCTAAGAGGAACTAGAAATAGAGGTCAGACTTAACTTTTCTGGATGCTGGTCTGGGTGCTTCAGGGATTTGAAACTGGCCATGATGCCTTTGCCTCGAGGTCACAAATTCAGAGCCAAGTCCAAGGGAAATGTGCCAAAGTTGCTGATGGCTGTTGAATAATTCTACAGAATGAGCAGCTGGCCTCGGACTGGTCCCAGGAGGCCAATATCTAGGCCATTTTTTCTCGCAGTGAGAATGGAGCAGCAAAGCGCAAGGACCCCAGGGAGGCAAGGCAATAGAAGATGCGAGGAAAATCTTCCTACCGCCACCAGAGATCAGCGCGCAAGGCTGGCCCTCCGACTCAACGTGTTTCTCGTGATATTACATCAGTTACCAAAATCAGTTTCCTTCCTGTTTGGGATATTGCTATTCCCATTTATCTTCCCCCTCTTCTGACAGCATCATATTTTCTGAATGATTCAGCGGTTAAGAGCAGCAGCTGGGGACCAGTGTAGCCTATTCTTAAATTGAATTGCAGAAGTGTTGCCTTTCCACACTCACATATCAGCATCTCTAATCACTATCTGGGATCATTTTATGTCAACCCTATTGGGCTGGGGTATGTTCAGGATGCAGTCATCCCTCTACAGCTTGGAATGGGAAGTTGAGCTCTGGAGATGGGGAGGTGTGTGGGCAGGGCTCAATTTGCTTTTGCTGATGGCAAATGCCCCACAGGAATTTCTCTTCCAGAAGGAACATATGGGACTACTCTAGTGCTGCCCTGTCAAACAAGAAGTTCTACAGCAAAGAGAAATTTATAAGTGCTAGATCCAAGCTGGAGCCCTGGTGGCACAGTGGTTAAGAGCTTGGCTGATAAGCAAAAGGTTAGCGTTTCGAATCCACCAGCGTTCCTGGGAAACCCCTATAGGGCTGTTCTACCGTATCCTATACGGTTGCTGTGAGTCAGAATCAACTCCACGGCAATGGGTTTGGTTTTTGGTTTTTTAGATCCAAGCTGGAACACTGGAAGACAAAGTTGGGACCAAGTTTTATGCTTATAAACACCTGCATAGGTGGGAGTATGCCCTTGCAGATGTGAGCAAGCATGAAAGTGGTCTGAGATTCACTCCTTCTATAGAAAATTACCAATGCCTTCCAGAAGGAGTCAATTTCAAGGATTTAACAAAAAAAACCAAACCCCAAATGACAAAGTCATCGTTCAACATTTCTAAAAGCTAAGACTCAGATATTAATGGCCCAAGATGAACGTGCACCAGTGGAAAAATATTTCTAATGATTAATTTATTTTCCAATTCATTTTTATTTTCTGAGACTAGCCTGGCATTCTTACAGATGGGAATAACGCAACGCAAGGCTCAATATCTCTCTTTCATTGCATCCTTAAACTAAATGGCATATGGTGGATGCTATGAGAACGATTTTGGTTCTTCTTCACTGTGGCTGGTCTGGTTGGAGTCCAGGTGAAACGTGTACTTTCATCATACCCACTTGTGGAGGTTACATTTGTCCCCTTGGAAGTTTGAGCCAAGTCACATACATTCTATGTGAATCCCATTAGAAAGAAGCCAGACATGTTAACATGAATGCACAGGGTCATCACTGCTCTCCTGAGCTCAATACTTACATGCTTCTTGCCTCTCGCCCCCTTGTTGTACCGTGGATGTGTACACAGACACTATTTCTTGAATCTCAGCACACCTTTCATAATATAATTTGATTTGTTCAGCAAGTTGCTTCTCAAGGAGGGGATTAAAAATCTGCAAGAAGGCAAGAAAATCGAATAAACAATTGTCACCAAACACTCATTGATATCTATAGGATGTGTTTGGGTTGATTTCATGCCCCCATTGATGTCATCGGTGGCTTGTTTGCATACATATTATCCACTCTGGATTTTCAAAAACAAAGGTGTCAGCATTAAATCAAGGACATACTGGCTCTAATTGCCTCCCCTTCTAGCTTCCTTTTGTGGCATCTTGTCTGCACACCACCCTCACCACCCCCAGTTGTCATCAAGTTGATTCTGACTCATGGCGACCCGGTGTGTTTCAGAGCAGAACTGTGTTCCATAGAGTTTCCAAGGGCTGTGATCTTTCGGAAGTAGATTGCCAAGACTTCCTTCTGAGAAGCCTCTGGTTGGATTCAAACCTCCAACCTTTCAGTTAGTAGCTGAGTGCTTAACCTTTTGTGCCACCCAAGGACTCCATCTTGTCTGCAGAGTCTCTGAAGTGTCAGGATTTCCCAGAGACCAGGCCTCCACTCTCTTCTGTTCCTCTGCTGCGTGCTGGTCCTAGAAAATCACATTCTTGCCTCCCTTCACTCCCACCAAGTGATGCCAAGTCTACCTGCGTGTGCCTGCTGCCTAAGAAGCCTCCTCCCATTTCCTTCTGTATGGCAGGCTCCTACTCAACCTCCCAGAGCCAGATCCAAGGCCTCTGCTTAAGGGCAGGTTTTCCTAACAGTCCACTCGATGTTTGCTTTTTAGCAAATGCATGTGTTCCTGCCTCGTGCTCCCAAACACTATGCTCAAATCTGAACTAAAGTATGTGTGGTAGTCTTTTAGGACTTATTTGTTTAAGAGCCAGAAAGAGAGTTCCTCAAGAACTGGGGCCTATCTTAGCTCAGTGGTTTTCAACATGCAGGTTGTGACCCTTTAGAGAGTCATGAAATTATTTCAGCAGCAGGATGAGTGTATATATATATATGAAGAAGAATGCATCATCAGGATTGGAGGAAGATTCATTGACAGTCTGTGTTATGCAGATGACACAACCTTGCTTGCTGAAAGTGAAGAGGACTTGAAGCACTTACTAATGAAGACAAAGACTTCAAGCTTCAGTATGGATTATGCCTCAGCATAGAGAAAATAAAAATACTTACAAGTGGACCAATAAGCAATATCATGATAAAAAGAGAAAACACTGAAGTTGTCAGGGATTTCATTTTACTTTGATCCACAATTAACACCCATGGAAGCAGCAGTCAAGAAATCAAAAGACATATTGCATTGGGCAAGTCTGCTGCAAAAGACCTCTTTGGAGTGTTAAAAAGCAAAAATGTCACCTTAAGGACTAAGGTGCACCTAACCCAAGCCATGGTGTTTTCAATCTCCTCATATGCATGCGAAAGCTGGACAATGAATAAGGAAGACCACGAAGAATTGACGGTTTTGAATTACGGTGTTGGTGAAGAATATTGAATATACCATGGAGTGCGAGAAGAATGAACAAATCTGTCTTGGAAGGAGTACAGCCAGAATGCTCCTTAGAAGGAAGGATGAGACTTTGCCTCATGTACTTTGGACACGTTATCACGAGGGACCAGTCCTTGGAGAAGGACATCATGCTTGCTAAAGTAGAGGGTCAGCAAAAAAGAGGAAGACCCTCGATGAGATGGATTGACCCAGTGGCTGCAACAATGGGCTCAAATGTAGCAACGATTGTGAGGACGGCACAGGACCGGGCAGTGTTTTGTTCTGTTGTGCCCTGTACATAGGGTCACTATGAGTTGGAACTGACTCAATGGCACCTAACAACAACGTATATATACATACACATATATATATACACACATATATAAAGTAGAACACAAAATATCAGAATGTATCAAACATAGCAAAGCTGTGTATTCTTAGTAAATATTTTGTTTCTCTTTTGTGTTATATATAGTATTATGTATGTGTCTATCTATTCTTTATCTATCTGTAGATATCCATTTGTATGTACTGGTCACGATATGAAATAAATTTGTTATTATGGACCATCTTTAAAAAAAAAGTTTGAAAGCCACCTCTTATTTCTGTTGGTCACCTCAGCACCTAGCACAGACCCTGGACATAGCAGGTACTCAAGATGTATTTCTTGCACAAATGAATAAATGAATTTCATTGTTTTTCCTTTTCACAGAGGCCTCTCAATAGGGGCTCCAGGATGTCACTCATGTGGAGTAGGGGGTTCCCACTTTTCCTAATTATGACTGTTACCTAGTAGCTCCTACTTTTACCAGAGCAAACCCTAAAGGGTCAAAGGAAATGAAAGAATGTTTCTCTTTCAGGTATCAGGCAAGGTTCCTGACCTCCTTTCCAAGGCAAAGAAAACAACCACTTTGAGAGCTCCATTCTGGGGGAACTTCTCACTCCCCTCTCCCCAGCCCAGCTGGAGGTGGCCTAGAGAACTGGGCAATTCCATCCGCGGGTGGGTTTTGGATTTTATAGGCACCGTGACAGTTCTGGACACAAAGTCCTCTGTGATCTCCACACCTGCAGCCAGCCCACCCCAGTGAGCCACATGCCTGTGTTTCTGAAGAGAGCAGCAATTGGAACCAAGGTTTTAATTTGCTGGAGCATCGCCCCTTCTTGATACTTTAAATAAAAGCACATAAAAGAAGCTTTGCCAAATAACTACGATTCGCTTCTTTCATTAACTTAATCACTGGATAGGCAACAGCCTGCTAAAAGTCCACTCTATAATTAAGCTAGTAGTTATTAAAACAGAGGCAGTAAATGGGTTCCATTTTATGGGTACTAAATGAGCCCAGCATTAACAGAAATCTATTATCGCGTTTGCTGGGGAAAAGCCTCAGTATTAATTATGTTTGATGACAGCCCATGCTTACTCTGGCTGGGGTGAATCTTTTGTTTACTCGGGGTTACACGGTCCGGAGTCACATGCCCATCACCCGCGAGTGCCCACAAACTTCTCCTTGGTCCCCTGGGCTCACCTGGGCAGGGTCCAGAGTGCGGAGGCGGTAGTACTTCAGAGGGCCAAAAAACCCTTGGATGCCAGCCACATACCTGCTCCCTCCAATAATGAAGTAGCCAGCAGTGTCATTGTAATGGAAATCCTCCCGAAAGCTAGAGAAGAACACGAAGGATTAGGAGGGCTCTAACAAAGGGACCCTTGCACTGACCCTCCTTGACTTACCCCAGATTTCCACATGTCCTTCACTCTGGGTTCTAGCAGCTGAGACCACTGTGGGGTCAGGCAGACTTGGGCTAGAAACTCAACTGTGACTTACCAGCTGTGTGACCTTGGACCAGTTACTTAACCTCTCTGAGACTGAGTTTTCTCATTTGCAAAACAATTAAAAAAAAAAAAGAAGAAGAAGAAGAAGCAGTTGCAGTTGACTCCAACTCTGGGCAACCCCAGGTGTGTCAGAGTAGAACTGTGCTCCATAGGGTTTTCAATGGCTCATTTTTCTGAAGTAGATCACCAGGTCTTTCTTCCAAGGCACTTCTAAGTGGACTTGAACCTCCAACCTTTCAGTTAGCAGCGGAGCACATTAACTGTTTCCACCACCCAGAGAGTCCTATAAAATGACAGTTCCTTACTCATAGGGTTGTTAAGAGGATTAAGTGAAACGTTAAGATGTAAGGCATCTAGAAGAGTTCCTATATGGTGCAAATGGTTAATATGCTCAGCTGCTAAACAAAGGGTTGGAGGTTCAAGTCCACCCAGAGGATCCTCAGAAGAAAGGCCTAGTGATCTGCTTCCAGAAGGTCACAACCTTGAAAACCCAATGGAGCAGTTCTACTCTGACACACATGGGGTCACCATGAGTCGAAACCCATGCAACGGCAACTAGTTTCAAGGCATCTAAAAGAGTGTTCGGCCCATAGTACACACTCAATATGTGCTGGCTATTGTTATTGTTGATATCATCTGTAATCATTGAAATTATTTGCAATTGTTGATCTTAATTGCAAATACTTTGTTCTTAAAGGGAAAACGAAAAACTTAATGAATAGTGGTGAGGGGGGTGCTAATAAAAACATCCTATTAGATAAAGTCTGAGGTAAATGGTGAATTCAGAGTTTAGGAGGAGGAGATTACAGCAAGGTCTAAGGGCTCTGTCAAAGACGAGAGGTCAACACAGGTGATGTGTTAGAAGTCCACATTGTTCCGAAGGACATGAAGGATCAGAAAGGGAACAAAGGAAAAAATGAGCTAGCAGGTATAAAATGTACAAAGTTGTTCCTTGCGGCCTTGTTTATATTCACCAAAGACTGTAAAACCCCAGGGGTCCATCCATGAGGATGGGACCATCCATCTGCTGGGTCCTGGGTGTGAGCTTTTTCACTGTGCAGCTTAAAAAGTGAACAAAGGGCTCTGCGCGCTCATCTGGAGACATATTCAAAATATATTGTTAGGTGAAAAAAGCAAACTGCAGAACAGGGAGTATACATTTTATCTAAGAAAGGGGAGAACCAATGTTTTGTATCTGTATAAAGAAACTCTGAAAGTATATACAAGAAACTAATAAAAATATTTACCCATGAGCTGGGAGCAAGGAATAGGGTGAATGGGAGCAGAGCTAGAAGTAAGACATTTAACTGTATACCTTTTCATAGCGTTTTGATTTTTTTAAACTATGTGCACTTAAAAGTTTGAAAATTAAACTAGAAATGGGTGGGCAGGTGAGAGCAGAGCATATGGCAACAGGAGGGAGGGTCAAGGCAGGCATCAGGTGAGAAGCCAGGCGAAGAGGGAAGAGCCAGGGAGCACAGAGGACAGATGGGAGCACAAGGAAGGAAAACAAACCACCAGGCCGGCTGCCAGGAGCCTGGAGAGGCATGGGAGTAAGAGGCCAGGGCGATGTAGACGGGGGACAAAGCCAACTACCAGCAGTTGGATCAGAGAGACCAGGAAGTATTGCAGGAGGGGGAATGGGTTTCTCTTAGCAGACAACCTGCCCCTCGCAGATGCACCTGGTTGGAGACGAAGCGTGAAAAGGGTGAAGACAACATCAGCTGATGGCAAGACTGAACAAGGAAGAATTTTAAAAAATGCCGTCAAGTCGACTCCAACTCATGGACCCCATGTGTGTCAGAATAGAACTGGAGCTACATAGGGTTTTCAATGGCTGGTTTTGGGGGGAAGAAGACTGCCAGGCTTCTCTTCCAAGGTGCCTCTGGGTGAACTCAAACCTCCAATCTTTTGGTGAGCACCTGAGTGCATTAACCTCCTCACCACCCAGGGACTCCACCTAGAAATTAGTTTTACACAAACGCAGCAAAAATGGAAAAGGAATACTTCATCTCTTAATACTATGCTTTTTAGAATCCCAGGCTTGGAAGAGCTATCGGAAGACAATGATCTCTTCGCCTTTTTCTTCGAGTGGGATCACAAAGTTATTATCTCTAAGAGGTGTGAATTGTGCCCATTTTCTGAGACCGTCAAAAGACTTGAACAACCTTCTTGGGCAACCCATTCCAGTAACTCATGAGATAGTCCCTGACACTCAACGGATACTAAGCAATGCTTCTGCAGTAGCAGTTTTCTTCACCAACTAACTCCACATAACCCACTCCTCTGGAAAATGTACTGACTGACGCCCACAACATGCTGGAGCCTTGCCGATTGGAGGCTACTCTCTGGAGTCTGGTTGTTGTTAGTTGCCATGGAGTCGACTCAGATTCATGGTCACCTTATGTATAATAGAATGAAACACTGCCCAGTCCTGTGGGGTCTTCATGATTGTTGATATGTTTGATTCCATTGTTGTGGCTATTGTGTCAACCCATCTCATGGAGGGTCTCCCTGGTTTTTGCTGACCCTCCACTTTACCAAGGGCATGATGTCCTTTGCTACCTATTGGTCTTTCGTGATGATGTGTCCAGAATAGTTGAGCTGGAGTCTTACTCTGTTCATTTTTAAAATGGGCATAATAACAGCACCTACCCTATAGAGTTGTTGTGACGATTGAGTGAATTAATATATAAAGCATTTAGAATGGTGCCTGGCACACAGTAATCCAATCACTACTAGACCTCTGCTCCCACCTCTTGAGTTGTATGCTTAGTAAGAGGAAGATGTGTTTGTTCTCAAACCTCTTGAGGCCAACTGTATGGTCATCGCAATTATATAATTTAATTACATTTTATGTAATCCAGTGGAATGAGTAGGGGAACAAAGAGTTTTTCCTTCTATTGTTGAATATTTGGGGTAGACTTAGTAACCTAAATTAATTAATTAATTGCTCAGTAATTAACACCAATCGTTGTGCCATTAAACCAGTTGGAAAAGGTTGGAAAGATAAAACTGGAGAAATCTAGATAGATTTGGGGCTCTGTTTTATAAGTGTCTTTATTCTCTCATCACTTGGAAGACACTGCAGTTGGGTGTGGTTTATGCATCTCTAATCAGTGGATCCATACTCCAATCAGTGGATTAATACTTCAAAGCAAAGTCCTATTTGGAAAGACTAGCAGATGAATGCACATTTATATTTTATAATTAAAACGAAATGTTTAAGGTGAGTATCTTTTTTTAATGGATCCTTTGCTTTAATGGAATTTTTCAATTATTTGATAAATGACTTGGTCCCTATGTCACTGGATTGTCATTCTTAAATTGTCATTACTATCAACCAGCTGCAGAGATCTATCCAGATTGCTCTCCATCCACAACGGTACTTCTACATTTTTCCCCTCACATTCTCAATGGCTGCACAAAAGGAACTACAAAATAATAACAAAAAGGCTGCAGAGGTGCAAGAGATTCCTTGTACTGTGCCCTGGTTGATGGCTATCAATTTCACTGACAAAGAGCTGAGCCAGACTCTTCCAAAGTCCAAGCCGGTCCCTTTCGAATGACTCAGACACGCTGGCAAAATATCTTTACTCTTATCTGGACATAAGAGAGTGACGTGGTTTCTTACTGTAGAGCACCAGTAGCCAGAAAGAATTGCAGACTTTGGTAAACAGGCTTCACTCAGAAACAGGAAATAACTCTGGCTTGTGGTTTCTATTGGTGCCCTGGTGGTGCAGTGGTTAAGAGCTCAGCTGCAAACCGAAAAGTTGGTGGTTTGAACCCACCAGCCACTCCCTGGAAACCCTATGGGGTAGTTCTAACCTATGAGGCAGGTCTAATCTGTCCTATAGGGTCGCTGAGTTGGAATCCACTCCACAGCAATGGGTTTGGTTTTTTTTTTGGTTGAGGTTTTTATGGTAGGGGAGCTTAGAGCTCCAAATAGCTGCTCCCCCTACTTCTGTGGTACTTCTCATCTTAAATATCACTTTCTCAAGAAAAATCCTCCACGATCTTATCTAAATTCTGAACACTTTGTAATTCTCTCTCAAGTCACTCATTCATTTCCTTCACAGCATTCACAACACTTTGTAGTTTTAAATTTATTTGTGAATTTACTGGTTTAATATCTGTCTCCCCCACTAGATTTTTCAGCTCCGTGAAGGCAGGGACTGTATTCCTTCTGTTTTTCATTTTATTCCCAGCATAGAGCATTATGTCTAGTGCATGGTTGATGCCCCAGGAGCGTAGTGAAGGTAACAAGCGCCCAGGAGCAAATTCTAAGTTGCACCCCACCACCCAATTCAAGCGCCCAGGGCCAATCTCTAAATTGCAACCCCTACCCAATTTGAGTGCCCAGGGGCAATCTCTAAATTGCACACCTCACCCCCAATTTCAAGACTAACAGACATTGATAGCGGATACTACATGTCAGCAGAAATGCTTTCCCCGCTGTTGTCCCACTTCCTCAGTCAGACGCATTTCATATTCGTGGCGCCTGGGAATATCATCCCGCGCCTCCTCTGGCGCCCCCTGGGACTTGCCCCCTTCTGCCCCCTCCCCCCAACTACGGCTCTGCGATGCCCAATAAATATGTTGGATGAATGAATGAATCGATGATAGATGAATGAATGAATCTAACAGTATACAAATCTGCAGTTATTACTTGTCACCTGGTGTTATTGACAGCTTTTCATTCACATGTACCACTTCACTCCTGAGCACTTAATTACTGATCTTTCTGCACCATCTTTGAGGGATAACAGCTATCACTATGCTTACAAGAACAAATAAAAAGGGGGCTAAGTGGCTTTCCTTGGGTAACATATAACCAGGAAACCAGAAATATTAGATGTTCAGGTCACTGGCTTGCCCCACTCTGAAAACAGGATTCCTGGCAAAAATAAGATTCAAAATACCTAGCCACAGAATCCCAGGAGTCTCTGAGGTGTGTGAATGGCTAACGTGCTTGGCTGTTAACAGAAATTTTGGTGCCTCGAAAGAAAAGCCTGGCAATCTACTTCCAAAAACTAAGCCGTTAAAAACCCTGTGGAGCACAGTTCTACTTCAACACCAATGAGTTCACCATGAGTCTCAATGACTCAAGGATAACTGGTAACCACAGGAACTGCAATCAAAACAGAGACCAGCCACAGCAGGGTTTCCGGAGCCCTCTGCTGGGCACAGTATTAACTATTTAGTTGTTCTCTTCTTTGGGGATGTCCCAGGAGTATGGGAGGAGCGGCTGAGGTGGTGGTGAGGGGCACTCTTAGGTCTGGGGACTGCCACTATTAATAGGAAAGGAATCATTTCAATGCTTTAACTAGGAGTCGAATCAGTCTATACCAGTCCTGAAAACCAGTCCTGATACTTGGAATCTTATATCATCATTTTGATCCTGTCTTTATTAAAAATTTTGATATTTCGTTCATCATGAATTATTTTGCATTAATTTTGATTTTTTAAAATACTGCATTAAAATCTCATTTATCATGATCATTGAGTTTTTTGGTGCCTCTCTACCCTCCACCCCTTAAATTCTGCACCCTAGTCTCAACCCTGGACCATATTGTGACCTCTCTGTCTATAATTCACTCATGTCAACCTCTAGATTCTAGGATTTAAGAGGAAAGGGGGGCCTTACATAAGAAATAAAAGGAGCATATGAGGTCCAATTGGTTGCCAAAAAACATCCTGGGGTTAGGGAAAGATGTCAGGAGAAAAAGTCATTATTTTAGACTTCATGTCTTGAAACACAAGCCCTGAATTTCTGGGGCCCACTTCACAGAACATGGCGCTAAAAGAGATTTCCAAAGGAGCCACAGATCACCTCTTCCTCCAAATAGAACTCTCAGGCTTTTCCTATTCTTGAACTCTTCACAGAAGATTCCACGGTCACTGGTTATACAATAAAGCTCATATCTGTTGAATTCCTTCTGACTCATCTAAATCCGACAGGGTGCATGTTAAGACTTCTTCTCTGCTCTTGGTCTTTATGCTTCAATACAGCAATCAAGTCACCTCCTGATCTTCTCTTCCCAGGTGAGGTAATAATAGTTTTTAGCCTTTCAATATTACTGTAATCCTTTAATCCAGCCATGAAAATAAGAATTGTTCTATGTGCTCAAAGCCGAAAAGAAAACAGTTTGACTTAAATGTGAACAGGAAGTGTGAAAAAAATATATAGTGTATGGACCTCTGTTTCTCTGTCTCCACCCCTCTTTGCTTCTCATCCTTTAATATTCGGTTTTCAAGAGAACTGGTGTATGGAGCTCTGAGTGGTACAAACCTGTATGGAGAAACAGATTTTTGCTTGGTGCAGCCAAATGACCTATGGTTGGAGCAATGAATTTCCCCAGCCAACCTGCCCACCAGTCGTGATATATTTTTTAAAACTATACAAACAAAGCTGGTAATTTTTGTTTCTGTTCTTTAGACTTATTCTTGAACATTCATTTATATACATATTATTCAGCTATGAGGAGGCATCCTGAGTTTCTAGAGGAAGTTGCTTCATGGTTCTGACACTATAAAATGCAATCTGATACACAGATGTAAAAGCAAATTTTTAAAAATTATGAAATACAAGGCAAGGAACCCAATTCTCAGTTTCTGTAACTCTTTTGGAGAATGGTTATATAAGGATGAAAAGTTACACCAATATCAATAGCTGCATACATTTCAAATTAAGATTATAAACATAAATATGAAGACTGTTGGCTTTTATGTTTTATGCTGGGCCAAAGTTACCAGCCATTCTCAATAAGCAACATTAATACTTTGATTTATTTTTCAGAATCCTTTGCCGAAGATAATTTTCAAAGGAAATGAATTATAAAGTGCCATGAAAGGGAAGAATGTACAGTGAGAGCTGGAGAGAGAACTAGTTTCTCTTGCTTAGAAAAAAGGTTGGTAGAGGGTGGGGAAAGTTCATGGATTGTTTAAAAAAAAAAAGTACAAAGACTAGCTACTGGGCAGAGAACAGCCCATGCTTGGAAAAGCTGAAAGAGGGGGTGTGGGAATAACATTAGGGTTGAGCGCTGAAGCATGAAGATTTCTTAGCCATCATCCTGCAAAATTTTGAATAAAGCAAAAAAATCACACTTACCTAATGGTCTGATTATGGTAGCTTTTCAAGTCCTGCCCAATGCTGGTGGTTACTACTATCTATGTTGGGAGAGAAATATACAAGGATCAGTTATGCCTCAATACCCCATGTCATAAATACAGTTCCTTGACATAAATTACTCATAAAATATGCTGACTAGCTTTTCACCTATACAGTTTGTGCAAAATAAAATTAACAGGTTAGTAGTCCTGTGTGTATTTAAAGATTTGAGAAATTTAACTTCGCCAAACTACCTGATCCAGTAAAAATACTTAGTTTCCCCCAGTGAGTTCCAGACACTTTCAAACTCCAAGCCAAAGTTTCTTGTGATGTATTTGTACTTAAAAACTTATTGCATAGAAAGATAGACAAGTGTGTAAGATACTACAAGGAGTTTTAAAAATTTTGCTCTGATTCCATGAGCGCTTTCAGGGGAAAAACAAGACTGGTATTGTACGTTCTTAACACACTGCTGTTTCCCACTCCCCTTCCAGTGAGCACTGAGAATTGTCGCTCCAATTTAGATGGTGACAATGTTGTTGTCATGAATGTTGTTGGCTGTCTCACATGTGTTTTTCTCATTTCTTCGACTCTAACATAAATCCATGGAGATGAGGGTCCGTTTTTATTCCCCCAGTGCTAGCACAGAGCCAGTACTTAGGAACATTTGCTGGCCTAATTGGATTCTCAAAGATATGGCTACAACACTGTGTCTTTAAAAGACAAACCAGTCCATAAAAACCAATCCAGCTCACTAGAAGAACTGGATAGTTCCCACCTACCATTACTGAATGTTTTGAACAAAGATTTTATAGGAGAATCCTGATCAAGAGGGGGAAAATGCAGAACAGAATTGAAAATTCTCACAGAATCCAGACTTCCTGGACCCACTGAGACTGGATGAACCCCCAAAACTATTGCCCTGAGATAATCTTTAAACCTAAAATTAGAAAGGTCCCCTGAAATTGTCTTTAAACCAAACAATAGGTTAGCTTAATTAGTAAAAAATGTCTGCCCTGAGCATTGTGCTCTTTTAAAATCTATCTATATGGGATCCAATTGACAACAGCAACTTGAAAGATTAGACAGAAAACTTAGGGGGCAGTGAGTTTATATTAATGGTTAGGAACAATTTGGAAAAGGAGGATGAGAATGGTTGCACAGCTTGAGGAATATAATCAATGTCACTGAATTGTACATGTAGAAATTGTTGAATTGGTATATATTCTGCTGTGTATATTCTCAACCACAACAACAATAACAAAATTAATTTAAGGGAAAAAAAAAAAAACTCAGCCATTATAACATGTTGGTTCAATGAAGAAAACAACTCTAACCAGTTGTTTCATGAAACCAGACATTTTTTTTTTTTTAACTCATTGGTCCATTTAAGCAAAGCAAGGAGTATGGTGGTCCCTCACTGCAGAGATGGACTTTGTGTGGATAAGCAGTATATATTGCTTTTGGATCTACTTTTAAATTTGGGAGGCACAGTGGGATGGAAAGAAAGAAGGTTATTGGAGTGGACATTTAAGTGGACAAAAAGTTTACTTAAGAAAAAAGTCCCCTTCTTTCTTTCCATCCCAATTGGTCTCCCTAATTCTTCTCTCCTGCTTGTCCCAATCCTGGACTCTGCCTTCAGTTAATCTCTTTAATTAAAGGACTATTTTGACTGGATTCTTCTGCTCAAAAACCTTCCATGATGCCCTATTGCTTTGCAAGTTAAAGTGCAAATTAGTGATATTCAAGATTCTCCACTTCTAGCCCAGTGAGATTTTTTTTCTTCTTATTAGTTTTCTAAGGAGCTCTGGTGGTGCAAATGTTAAGTGCTTAGCTGCTAACTGAAAGGTTGGCAGTTCGAACCCACCAGCAGCTCTGCAGGAGAAAGACCCGGTGATCTGCTTCTCTAAAGATTACAGCCAAGAAGACCCTATGGGGCAGTTCTACCCTGTCCTAGAGGGTCTCTGTGAGTTGGAATCGACTCAATGGCACACAACAACAACATTAGCTTTCTACAGTCTAGAAATTTCTACTCCAGTCAAACTGGTTTATCTGCACACCCCCATGGATGGTCGGAAAGGACTCTCCTACCTCTCCATCTAAATTCTGCCCATCTGTAGGAACCTTCTCTCTGAGACCTTGTCTGAGCACCCCAGCATGAAGTGCTGTCTCCCTTCTGTGAATCAATGTGAATCATTTGGCGATTATGCTCTCCCTATGACAGCTCTTCGCCTGCTTAATGTTATTTCCATAAATTGTCTATAAGCCCCTGAGCACAGTGCCTTGCATACAACAGGTGCAAAATAAGATCTGTGAATTTGCTCTGATGATTTGACACCTGTCAAAGTGACACATAGCACTGAGCTGGCCTTCTCTTTAGGAGGAAGCAGCATAAGCTACAATATCATCATGACCTCATGTAGACAGGAAACTAAAACGTGGACCAGAGCTATGGCACCTAATATTTTTTAAGGAAAAAACAAACAGACAAAAAAAACCCAGGTAATGTTTTACAGGCACCTCTCAGGAAGGCAACAAGGCTGACCTGATTTCTTTTGTCTTCAGGAAAAGGACTTATGATAAACCAAAATACCAAGGGAAGACTGTATTATCTAATACACAAGACAAAAAAACTCTCTTCCAGTTTTGTTACAGGAAAATCACAAATCCATAAGAAAAGCTGGTGAGAAAATAAAGTAACCAGGAAAAAGTAGGATACTGGCATTGCGTAGATCGAGAAATAGAACTGCCCTCAATTATAACAGCAGATTTGCTATCATCCATAAAAGCTGTGTTATGAGAGTTTGAAATAGTTATGTGTAGGGTTTTATAGTACAAAGTAGATAAAGCCCCTCCATCCCACTAGAATTGTCACTGATGTTTGTTGGCTGTTATTTGTCTATTTAATCCAAACATAAACAATTGTTTCAACAGCCAAGAGCAGTCAAATCATTTCTTGTTTGAACTAACGAATAAATTTCCTTCTAAAAACAAAAGTTGTAGATCTGATAACACTATATAAACTTGGCCAAAGCTGTTTGAACATTTATCTCCATGAAGCCCATCTCCCTAGGGGAAAGGACTGAATTGCTCAGATAATTGTGGCTATATAGCTGGCTATATTATTTACTCATTCACAATATGGTCAAAAAAAAGGCTTTAAAAGTTAATTAAATGGAATAGGATTCTTATGATCTAAACGTCCATCTATAAAAGTTTGATTTTGAAAGTGTATAGTTGTAAAAAGTTTATCATTTACCACTAATTTGCTTTTGCAGATTTTGTTGCTCCCTAATTTTACAAGTTATTGTCGTCGTTAGCTGCCATCGCACCAGAGTCTGCCCCCAACTCATGGCGACCCCGTGCACAATGGAACAAGATGCTGCTTGGTCCTGCACCACCGCCATGATCAGTTGCAGATTGGACTGTTGTGATCCATAAGGTTTTCATTGGTTGATTTTCAGAAGACACGCCTTTCTTCCTAGTCCATCTATCTTAGTCAGGAAACTCTGCTGAAACCTAGTCAGCATCCTAGCAGCACACAAGCCTCCACTGACAGATGGGTGGTGGCTTCACTTGAGGTGCACTGGCTTGGCATTGAACCTGAGTCCCGCACATGGAAGGCGAGAATTCTACCACTGAACCATCACTGCTCTAACTTTACAACAATGCTGAACTGTAAGTGACCAGGATAACAAGACAATCAATGATGGAGTCTGTGTACAGATACCTGGCCTCCGTTAAAAGAGATATCCAGCCGAAACCACTCCTTCAAAGGTATGGTGAATTTAGTTTTCACAGCCAAGTCTTCTCCTTTGACAAGGTGCATTTGAATATGCAAGTGGCCTAAAAGGAAAATGAAAGCTCATGAAAATGACAAAAAAATACTTAGGAGTGAATGAAGTAGTTAAGCCTTCTCAATAATTATCCTAAGAAGCTACAAGGCTAAATCACATTCTGTCTTCTTTTAAACAAAACAAAACACCCATAAATGCATTCCTTTGCAAATAAGACATTTGTTCAAGTTTAAGTAGAAGCTCATATTTGAAAGCCATCACTCTCACTGAATTGTCACATTGACAAATATCTTCCTTATTCCAGACAGACGTATTCCCACTCGACACAGTGTAAGAAAATGACGATAATCATTGTAAACGTTCCATTTTATACTTACCTTCTTCAGTGAGAAACACAGAAGGCGTTCCATACATCTCATTAGAATCAACAAAATACAGAATCCCACAGAGATTGACCTTGCAATAATGAAGTAAATAAAGCCACAATGAAACAGTAAACCTGTAAGAGTGAAGGGAAAAAAAATCTGCAGATTGATATCATCCAAGAACAGGTAATTATAGTTAAAAACGCCTGAGTGAATTACTTTCTTTCCGATGAAGGAATGAATTTTCCTTCGTGTTCATCATGGGAGATCAGCTAGCAAAGCTTGATTTTTGAGACAAAGGAGGTAATTATAGTAACTGCAACAGACAAGGGGTTGAGCATCATTGTGCAAAATGAGCAGACATTCTACCTTGCACCCAAAACTCTGTTTCTGTGTGTCTTGAAGAATCTCACGTGCCTGCTATCTAAGTTCTTGATTAAGGCTTATAAAACCAGATGTAGAATAAAATTGTGGATTTTAGTAAGAGGTGATTTGATAAGAAGCTATTCTAATTTTGATGATTAAAAGAAAAAAACATAATTAGGGCTCTTTGAGCAATTTTGTTTCTTTCAAAGATAAAAGCCTTAAGGTAGAAGAATGTAATAATCTGCAAAGTGGCATCACCATATGATAATTGAGACACATATGCATTATTTTAATACGCACATCAGGTTGTTCAGTACTACATTTCTGGCTGACCAATATGGAACAAACGATCTAATTATTCCATTCCTGGACAGGGGCTATTTTAGTTGGGAAAAAAAAATTATATGTTATGATTTGTGGACTGAGGATAAAACAACAGTGGCCAATTTAAATAGGACACATTTAGCCAGGAGAGGAGATCCATCACCTGGTTATCCGATCATTCAGCAAATATTTGCTGAAAACCTCCTTAGTGCCATTCATTGTGCTAAGGGCTAACAATCCAAAAATGAGGCAATGGTTGTTGTTAGTTGCTGTTGAGTCAATTCCAACTCATGGTGTCCTCATGTGTTACAGCGTAGAACTGAGCTCCATAGTGTTTTCTTGACTGTAATCTTAACAGAAGCAAATCGCCAGGGCTTTTCTTCTGCAGTACCACTGCGTGCGTCCGAACCACCAACACCTTTAGGTTAACTGCTGTTGTTGTGTGCTGTCAAGTCGATTCTGACTCATAAGGACCCTATATGACAGAGTAGAACAGCCCCATACAGTTTCCTAGGCTGTAATCTTTATTGGAGCAGATCAATAGGTCCCTTCTCCCACAGAGCAGCTGGTGAGTTCAAATCACCGACCTTTCAGTTAGCAGCCAAGCGCTTAACCACTGTGCCACCAGAGTTCCAACCATTTTTGCCACCTAGGGACCTTTCAACTCAGGAATTGACTCGATGGCAACGGGTAGGGACCCTTCAAAGATGAGGAGCTAAAAGTAATAGTATTTTGCAAATTAAACATGAATCAAGGTTAAAATCAATCCATCAGTTTTTCTCCATTTACCCCAGTAACCAATGTCACAGTTTGGGTTAAAGTAGCAGTGGCCCTAGTATCTTTGGGGATACAGCTAAACAAATCCTTTAGAACAGTCTGGGCTTTTTAATCTGGCCTCAAAATCAGTGGTAAGATATGCGAACAGATGGTGTCACGCAGCTTCCTCCTGACCCACCCAGCTGAGCAAGCTCATGAAGGTAAGTTATTACAAGGAAGCTTAGCAAGAACATACACTCAATAAAGTAACTCAAGATCTTTCTACTGCCAGCAGCAAGGGAAGAATTAAATCACTCTGCTAAATCCATCGAGTCTGAGGTGAACCGGGAACTGTTTTCAGCATCTTCAATTCAATAGAAGGAAAAATATATGGACGGATTTTTCTGCAATCAAGGGAGATTGTGAGATTTCAAGCAGCTAGTCCAATCTTGGAGCCCCTGCGTGGTGCAAACAGTGTGTTCAGCTGCTCACCAAAAGTTTGAAGGTTCAAGTCTACCCAAAGATGCCTCAGAAGAAATGCCTGGTGATCTACTTCCAAAAAATTAGCCATTGAAAACACTATGGAGCACAATTCTATTCTGACACACATGGGGTCTCCACGAGTTGGAATCGACTCGACAGTAACTGTTTTTTGATTTGTTTGTTTGTTTAGCCCAGTCTTCCAAGACAGACAGGGCAAAGCAAAGTCTACAATCCATGCTGGCTTTGGTCAGCTGAGCCTGAAACCTGGCAAGGCCTCAGGCCTCAACACTTTGTTCCTCTACTCAGGACTGATATAAAAAGTCCAAGGCAAACTGAGAATTGCTAAATGCAAGAATAACTCAAGAATAATTTGAGGTTTTCAGGTTCACAAATTCTAAGATACGTCGACCTCAACATTTTGATCACCAAGGTGTGTTCTCCTCAAGGCTTCCACTAGCCTGTGTCTGGCCTTCAGATAAAAAGAGCCCAACCACCCATCTTCCACCCTCCTTACACTGGGTAATCCATCCTCTGGCGTCGGGTGGCCTCCAGCTCTCGGTTCCGAAACCTCGCGAACTTCTTCACGATGCCTGTGTTTTCCCCACTGGAGGCATAGGGAAAGCCAAGGAGGGCGACCACATCTGCAAACAGCAAAAGGCTGCCTTTCAATCATCTCCAGAAAAGCAATGCTTCCACAATCACACTCTTCCGTAACCCTCTGCCCAGCTCCACCCAAACATTTAAATGAAATAGTCTAAAAATAATAGCAAACATTTATTGAACACTTAATATATGCCAGGCACCATGCTAAGCACTGTACAGCGACTCTCTCAATTCATTTTCATAACGACTCTGTAAAGTAGATTTTCTCATTATTCATGTTCTACAGGTGAAAAGCGTGAGGCTCAAAGAAGGCAAAATAACTTGCTTAAGTGGTAGAGCCAAGTTTTAGGGTACAAACTCAGGCTTATACGTATTTAACTATTTTACACACTGCCCTCTTAAAGCTAAGGAAAGCATTTTGAATTTGTGTAATAATAATAGTTAATGCTTTGTGCTAGGCTACTAACATAAAGGTTGGCAGTTCCAACCCATCCAACAGCACCACAAAAGAAAGGCCTGGCGATCTGTTTCCATAAAGATTAAACCCATTGCTATCAAGTCAATTCCAACTCATAGCAACCCTATAGGACGGAGTAGAACTGTCCCATGGGGTTCCCAAGGCTATAATCTTTACGGATGTAGACTGCCACATCTTTCTCCCACGGAGCGGCTGGTGGGTTCGAACCATCACCAAGAAAATCCCAAGAAGCAGTTCTACTCTGTAACACATGGGGTTGCAATGAGTTAGAATTGACTCGATGACAACAGGTTAGGTTTTGTTTCGTTTAACACCCACTATGGAGCAGATGGAGCCCTGGTGGTACGGTGGTTAAGACCTATGTCAAGCTACGGCTGCTAACCAAAAGGTAATCAAAATGTCAGCAGTTTGAATCCACCAGCTACTCCTTGAAAACCCTATGGGGAAGTTCTACTCTGTCCTATAGTGTTGCTATGAGTCAGAATCAGCTCAGTGGCAACAAGTTTGGTTTATGGAACAGATACTGCATAAGCGTTTTACATATATTAATTCATTTAATCCTCAGGATTATCCCATACTACAGCTGAGGAATGGAGACACAATTGCCGAAATAATCACTAACAGTTAATTAACACTTAAGGAGTCCTGGTGGTGCAGTGGTTAAGCACCCAGCTGGTAACCTAAAGATCAATGGTTCTAACCCACCAGCCACTCCACAGGAGAAAAATGCGGCTGTCTGCTTCCATAAATATTTACAGCCTTGGAAACTCTATGGGGCAAGTCCACTCTGTCCTACAGGGTTGCTATGAGTCAGAATCAACTCAACGGCAATGGGTTTGGTTTTGGTTTTTTGTTCCATATGCCAAGCAATATGCTGAGCACATTTCAGGGATTATCTCATTGAATTTCACAACAGCTGATGAAGTAGGTTTTAGTATTATCCCCATTTAACAGATGAAAAAACTGAGCCTTAGAGAGGGTGAATAAACACATTTAAACAATTTAGTTAAATAATGAATAATTTTTAATTGAAATGAAATATAAATAAAAGACGTGGAGCTGGGATTCCAACTCAAGCAGCTTGGTTTCAGAATCTATGCTCTTAAAACAGCATTGTATTTTTCTTCTGTGCAGACTTTCCACATATCCTCAACACATTACCCTAGGCAAAAATTATTGATCATACCCCTTAAAACTTGGCGTCCCACTTTGTTTTGCAGATGTGGGAGAATTCTTTTCTGTGGCTCTAGAAAACAGTATTGTCTCTAGCTGCTGTCAAGTCAGCCCCCAACTCAGGACAACCCCATGCACAACGGAACAAAATGCTGCCCGGTCCTGCGTCATCCTCATGATTGGTTGCAGAGTTGACCATTGTGATCCATAGGGTTTCCATTGGCTGATTTTTGGAAGTAAATCTCTGGGCCTTTCTTCCTAATCCATAAAACCTGTTTAGCATCTTAGCAACACATAAGCCTCCACCGACAGATGGGCGGTGGCTGCACATGAGGTGCATTGGCCAGGAATCAAATCTGGCATTCTCCAGCATGGAAGGGGAGAACTCTACCACTGAACCACCACTACCCTAAGGTCTAGAAGATATAGGGGTGTCCACAACAAAGTCTCACAGGAAGAACTGAGTTAGTGCATCTCTATTTAATACCTACTGCTTTAAACAAGGTTAAGTATGATTTTGTTCGTTTGTTTTCCATAACCCTCAAAAAGCAAATTTACTTAACTCAACCTGCAAGTAAAAATCATTTTCCTCTTTCTGAAAAGACTTCTTGGTTTAAAGGTACATGATTAAATGGTGGAAACAGTCTATTGTCCTGGACTTCCTGGAGAGGGAAGAATTGACTTCTGTGCAAGTCGCCAAATGCCAGTATTGGCACAAATTATGGGGATCTCAGCCTGGGATGCTGGACATGGCAGCTCTCATTCCCCAATACGGAAAAAAATCATTATAGAGAGGTACCTCTGCTTCATTATAACTTGGAAACCTTAAGAGCATTTTTCAGAATCTCAGGCTTCTGTTATATAGTTAATAGAATCAAATAAGTTGATTTTTCCTAGTCGATGTCCATAAATCCACCTGCGTTTTTATAGGTAGGGATGCATTTGGAAACCCAAAAGGGTGACTTCATCAATTTCAATAGAAACACTTTAAACCTTTTTTTCTTTTCAATTTGAGCACATTTGACTTGCTGATTTGTTACGGGTGGGATTAGAAATGGAAATACTGCAGAGGTGTCTTTGGAATCTGGAAAAAGATTCATCAAGAGGTAAATATCAGCTCAACCTTGGTTTGGCTTCCACCGTGTTGAGTGGAGCGTAAGAGACCAGATGGCCACATTAGACCCCTAGGAAGCCTTCTGCTAAGGATTGCTGTAGAGTTATCTAGTGAGTAGTAGAAACATTATCAAAGCAAATGGAATTTGATTCTGCCCAACCTGACTCAAGTAAAAAGAGCTTTCATAAAGGAAGTTTCCAATGTGAAAGGAGTTAAAAGTGAATGTTGATGAGTCTCTCCCATATCCAAGGATCAAAGTGAAATAGACTGAACAAGAGAACTTGCAGCAAAAGACTGTGGAGGGAAAAATCTAAGAACCAAAGATCTAAAATAATTTTACAAAAACACAAATCTTTTAAATCCAACAAAAATGAAATAATGATGGTGTTCTTGTGAAATCTGTAACTTCAATAGTTCTACAATTTGGAGTTCTACTGTAGTTTTTCCTTATTGTAATATTGTCTTCCTGTTATAATTAGAAGCAATTAACAAGAATAGAGTCCCTGAGTGGTACAAACAGTTAATACGCTCGGCTGCTAACCAAAGGTTGGAGGTTCGAGACCACTCAAAGGCACCTTACAAGAAAGCCTTGGTGACTTGCTTCTGAAACATCAGCCATTGAAAATATGATGGAGCATGATTCTCGTCTTACACACATGGGGTCGCCATCAGTAAGAATCAACTCTGTCCACTGTTTTTTCAACAAGAATGAAATTCTGGAGCTGGAAAGGCTATTAGAATTCATGTGGCCCAAGATAACATCTTTTAGTAACAGTTTGATAAGCTGATCGTGGCTGCCTGGAGTATTACAATTGATTAGTGACGTCTGCCATAGGCAGTAGAATGGAGAGTAACAGTACTAGTGCCATCCACCACAGAGAATTTATAGGTAGGAGAACTTAGGTCCAAAGCAGTTAAATGGCTTGCCCAGTTTCCTTTAGAATGTAAGCTCCATGAGAGTAGGGCCTTTCCTGCATTCACTATTTTATCTCCAGATCTTAGAACAGCATCCAGCACATGATACGAGCCCCATAAATACCTAGTAAATGAATGAATGAATACAGCTGTAGCCAAGTCAGAATGTGAACCTATCTCACTTTCTCCCAACACCTTCCACAATTCTATATGGTGCCCCATGTTGTCTAAGCCAAATAATCCTCCCTCTTCTTTCAGATCCTTCACCCAAATCCATTTCTTTGGCTTACCTTAAAATAGGAAGTCAGGTAGGAAAACAGCATCATTAAAACATAAACATAAAATGGCAGAAAAACTGTTCATGTCTGGGAACTCCCTACTCCTGAACCACTTTGTTTGTTTTACTTCTTCAAATTTTAGAGCAGTTAGAGGCATTAGATATTATATGGTGCAAAGCCTCTTATTTTGGAGACAAGAAAAGTGGGTTAGTGCCTTGCTGACCATCGCATCTATGACTCAACCTGGGGCTCCCTGCTACAGATCAATGCGTTTTCTATTAAAACACACGGCATCTCACAAGTCTCCCCAGAAAAAAACAACTATGGCTGCTGTTCAGCTGGCATTCCCCTGTGGGGCTGTAGTGATTGTTAAAACACTGAAATCTTTCCATATCTGCTAGATAATTGACGCTGTCTTGAAATCACCAAGGCTCCACCACCTACCCTGGCACCTCCTTAAGTGTAGAACCAGGCATAGCAGGGGCCTCCAGCACTACCTGACTTCAGCACCAAGGCCAGCACCCAGTCAGCCTGACTGGGCCCCCACCCCGTGTTGTTAGTGCCATCCACTGTGCTCCTGACTCGTGGTGATCCCATGCACAACAGAAGGAAACGTTGCCTGGTCCTGCACCATCCCCATGATCAGTTGTGGATCAGACTGTTGTGATCCAAAGCGTTTTCACTGCTGATCTTAGGAAGTAAATCACTAGACCTTTCTTCCTAGTCCATATTAGTCTGGAAGTTCTTATATCTGTTTAGCATCATTGCAACACGCAAGCCTCCACTGACAGGTGTGTGGTGGCTGTGCATGAGGTGCATTGGCCAGGAATTGAACCTGGGTCTCCCACATGGAAGGTGAGAATTCTACCACTGAATGACCACTACCCTCCTCCCCACCCCTTACTGGTTGTTAAATATTTTGAATATCATTCCTGGGGTGGGGGGGGACCATGTAGTCAATTCTCTGGTTCAGTGGATCGACCGGAATCCTTGTTCTGGGGAAGGTCCTTTTTCTATGTAACAAAGCCCTGCTCGGGATACGTCTAGCACACCGCCATGATGTGGCTTAGCCCATATGTG